CCCCAACAAGCAAACCCCAGCTAGGGGCTGGAGCCAGGGAGGGTGGTTAAACACCCCTTCCTCATCTCAAACTTACTGCTGGCTTCAACTGTGGACTACAAATCTCACAGGCACCTGGAAGCAGGAAAAGGAAGTGATGAGCAACTCCGCAGAGTCTTGCTGCTGTAGTTCTGGACTGCAAATGCCCAAGGCCTTGGGGGCAGCAGGAAGAGGAAGTGAACACAAGACAGCCATGCTGTAGCACTCACCAGCTTCTGGCCTGAGCCACTGCAGGCATGTGGCTGCATTTCCTGAATCAAAGGTAAAAATGTCTGCTCACTTCTGTTTCAATTTAATCTGTGCAGTTTAAACTAACCTGCAAAGACTGACTCAATTCAGCCTTGGGCTTTTTTTACTGTCTGTACCTAGCCACTGAGTTCTGGTAAATACCTACTCTGGACAAGTACAATAGCCTATTTTTAGTCCTGAGAATATGCACTTAAAGCCAGTACAGTGTATAAGTACTTTATATTAGTATAAAAGTATCCACACTAGGGTCTCAAATGGGATATCCATTTAAAAATATATATATATCACATTCCTAACCAAATGTTTTTAAATATCTATCTTAAGTTCCCATTATCCACAGATTGAATTTTGGCACAAGTTGGCCAAATGTTCCCAAGTAATGTTCATAAAGTATTTTGAAATCAATGGGTAATTTTACAGAGTATAATATCATGCCTTTATGCTAGTGGCTGTGTGCAAATCTTACAGCCAAGACCTTAAAAATCAAGGTCCCTTCTTCCCTAAATGAACTTTAAGAAGGTGTTTTCCTAACTAGTTAGGTAAGTGGGGGGTGTTATTCAACCTATGCATTTAGAACTCCCCACTGATGAGATGTACAATGCCTCCACTTCTTTTGGGATAATAATTATGTGAACGTGCACTGTCATCTTCTAAAATGGTTGGTTACCATAAAGCCAGCTAAAGCTTTCCCCTGCCAATGCTGCGCCTCTATGTTCTTGATACAGTCAGAGAGTATAGGGAGGAGGCATATCATTTTCTACAACAGTAGTTGAGAGTACTGTTTATGACGACATAACTATTCAGTCTCTAACATTTTTTCCCCCCCAATCAGCAGCAGTCCCTCAACTCAAGCCTGATCTCTACCACATCTCATTGATGGGTCTTGAAATAACTTGAAGGCTGTGTCCACATATGCATGGACGTTCGGTTTCCTGGGGACAACTAGCAGTGGTGCACCTTGTGCCACCACTGTTTGTCCAGAGGGAACACCTATGCCACATACCTTCTGGCACATGGCAGGTTACCCCAGGGATGGGATGGATGGTAAGCTGGGACCAGCACTCTGCTGGACCCAGAAGCCTTGCCTGGGCTCTTGGGGGCCTCCCAGGGCTGCAGCAGTGGTGATCCTGCCATGCGGAGCCTGGCCAGCAGCTGGAGTACAGCTCCAGCTGTCCAGGCTCCAGTTTTGAGTGGTGCATACTGCCCTTGCATGCACCATTCCACCTTTTTTTCCTGCAGGTTTTTTTGACCCCTGGATATGCTTACTTGCATTGACCAGTCGAGATTCAGAGAGATAATCTGGCAGCAGCTGACCTCCCTACTAAGTAGGGCTGGGCCCCACCATAAAGCAGTCAACTTACCAGGCTTGCCTACAGCCCCAAAGATTTTATACCTGGCAGCCCTATATTCCACTTGGCTTGTCTGAGCCCCCTGGCCTCAGTCCCAGCCAGTTCTAATCAGGGGCTTGCCTAGCCCCTCAGTAGGCCCATACTATTGTAAGCCCCTTCCTAGGCTGGCCTCACTCTTCCCTAAGCCTCTGGCCACTTCCTTGGGGCCTGGAACCCCACTGGGTCCCTAGGAACCTTCTCCAGACTCATAGTTTCTACCCTGACCTCCAGATTTTCCTGGGAGCAGCAGCTCTGTAGCAGGATTATATTATAACAGCAGCCATTGTTGGCTCTGTACCTCAGGCCCTGCTCTTATTCTCTGGCTGCTCAGCTCTGTTCCAATCAGGCAGCCTCCTGGCTGTCATGTGACCACCTGATTGGCTCTGCAGTCACCTGCAGGCTGCCTCACAGCCTGTTCAGGCTCTTCAAGTAGCAAGCACCCAAAGGTGCACCACCACAGTCTTCACTGGACTTTACTAAGGCCTTTGACTACATCAGTTGTGAAGCCTTATGGAAAGAACTGAATACCCTGAAAAATGCATCAAGGTCCTGAGGCTTCTCCACAACCAGATGACTATGACCATAATTGTAGCAGATTGGAGACAAATCCATCTGTCTTTAAAACTAGGGTTGAGCAAGGATATACCATTGCCCCAATTCTGTCCTGCCACAATTTTATAGACTCCCCTTCAGTAACAACTATACCAGATCATCTTGATGGGCCTTAAAGACTTAGCACTGCTTTTTAACTTACATTTAATTAGGTGACTTAATGACACTGTGTAGGTAAACTGACATAAACACATAACATAAACACATTTCATTCAGTTTAATCTTTGCTTAAATTGCTTTGTCTTGCATCTGTGATTTAAGCAAACATTAAACTGGTTCAACTATATCAACCTTGGGGATAAATACAATTGACTTCTTGTCACCACAGTTAAACTGACATGTACAGATAGGGCCTAGAGAGATATATGTTGCAAAGCAAAAATGAAAATAATCTTACATTGGTTTTCAAATAGTTGCAACATAATTGTTACTTATTTGAACCACTGGAGACAAACTGAAAACCTTTGCATATGTTGGTTTAAATATAAAACAACTTCATAGTCTGATACGTCTAGATACATCCATGGTCTGTTTCTGTCAGACTTAATTCTGCTTTTTTCGTACAGTGCAGACTAATATTTTAAACATTAACTCGATTTCAGCATCATGGACTTACTGGATGAGTGAGGTCTTTTGTTGTATACCCTCTTGTGTCAACAAAGAAATTATACACCATGAAAAGTATAATAAGATAATCATACTCATTACAGTAAAAGAGAATGATTCATCCTTAGGTTGAGGCTCCTCACCCTGATGTGGAGTAAACACCACCTTATAATTAAGTCCTCTAATGCAGTTAGGAAATGTGAAGTCAATATTCTGTTTAGTTTCTATACATCTAGTCCTTCTCTCATTTAAATCAAAGGAAAAGTTACCACTGACTCTCATAAATGCTGGCCCTAAAACCAGAAAGCAAACTGTACTCCATCAACAAAAATCTACTATTTCAAATAATATTATGTTTAAAAGTGATTAATCTCAACAAGTCCAGCGAATTCATGTGGAAAAGTGATAACTCATACTTGTGATGAAGTACCGAGCTCTGCCAGATGCATTACAGTGTGTGACATCATGTGGATTCTGAGATTACTGGAGTTGTTGGACCAATAGGTATAGGCAACTTTACTGGGAAAGATGAAATGACCTCCCAAAAAAGGAACTAAAGCCACTTCTTTGACAGAGGAGAAATAAAAGATCAGCAAGTAATGATCAGCAAGCCTCAGCTTGGAAACAGCCTGGAACAAAACTAGTTTTTAAGGTGCCCCCTTGCCCTGCCTTCTGCTTAACTTCAAATTAACAGGGCTCTCTCTCTGTCAAAAAATATTAAATGATTACTTTGTCCCAAGAGGGATGCCAACATAGATCATTTAAATGTCAACATTTTATCAATGTAAGTGGTAATTAAAGCACAGAAGAAGAGAAATCATCTTGTGAAGATTTATAGTCAACTTGTTGCTATTTTTGTTTAGATTGGAATGAGGCAACTGTTGAATACCATATCCGATCATTGTCCTGGGTGTTCCAAAACGATAAAAATGGGGGGAAAAAAAATTATGTTTGAGACAGTCTGGGAAATCTCACTCAGCACACAAAATGTTCTGTTCTGCTTCCAAGTTATTAAATCTACTATTATCATTATCACTAACATTACTAATGCCATCACCACCACTTTTTGTTCTTTTCTTTTAATCATACAATTTCTTTTAAGACAAGAAATGCTGTTTTAAAACAGAGGAAAACATTTGGTTACACAATATTTCAGAATAAAATGGAACACCATTTCCAAAGCAAAAGGCTTCCTCTAAAAAATGCAGAAATAAAAGAAGTTGACATTTCCCCCCTACTATTATTAATCTGAAACCTTTATTCATCCTGAATTCATGAATAATTGTGATCCTCACAAAACTCATTTTTCAATTAATTTACTATTTGTCAAAAAAATTAAAAAGCATGCAGCAGAGGCAATCAGGTCAACTACAAAAACAACAAAGTCTACAATTCCCTTGTAGTAGAGATCAATATAGTCCTCAATAACAGGTGTCATCCTGATATCAAGTAAGCAGAGCACAGTAATAAAAACCCCCCCCCCCCCCCCTTTTTTTTTTAAAACTGTTTCAGTATCCACTTTGACTGATGGGGAAAGTGATAAAGCAATTTGCTGGAACTGGATGTGAAAGCTGCTCCACTGGAATAGCTAGCAGGGGAAGCAAAGTTTCTCAAAGCATGAAAACAAAATTTAGAGGAGAAAAAGAGGTGAAGAAAAGGAGGCAGCAGTAGTTCTTGGAGCTGGAATTTGGATTCCTGCCTATCACCTCAGGTGTTAGGAGAAAGCTACAGGAAGCTAGGAGAAGGTCTTTGAACCTCTCAGGAAAGAATCAGTAATGCAATTAACACCTGAGAGGATATATGTATGAAGCAGCAAATAGAACCCACTCTGAAAACAGATTTGCAGTATATCAGCGAACCTACAGCAATTGCTCAAGTGCATACTCTCACTCCACAGTACATGAAGGCAAACAAGCCATAGTTTTGCTAAGGGCTAGGTTGCCAGAGACTGGATTTTATCTGCTATGGGATAAAAGCATCCACTTGGGCAGCACAGAAAAGGTGCTACTTTTTTGACTCATGGTAGCTTGTTCTTGTGCTCTAAGTATTATTCACCCAGAACTACAGATAGGAACCAAGGAACAAAAAAAAGTATGTGCGCCTTACCAGGACTGCAGCAGAACCAAGAGTAAAATCCATCTCTCATTCCCAGTCCTCTCTCTCAAGGAAAATCTGTGCAAAATTAAATGTTTTGTTAAAGTACTGTATTCAGCTGCGTGTGGTTTCTTAGCCTAACATTATCTAGAACTACAAGAATTTCTGTCACGGATATATTTTATTGGACCAACTATATAGTTGGGAGAGACACAGATGAGCTTTGAGTACTGTGCTCTGCTATATTTAAGTAGCCTGAACAGCTTTCAAAGTTAACACCTTGATGAACTAATTGCTCTTTCCAACAGCTGTTCTTTGTCTTGGAACAGTTGATGCCCCTGCAACAAGAGCAGGCAACCTTTTCCAGCTTGCTGGCCAGAAAAACCCATCCTGAGTCAGAGGTGGGAGGGTAGGCACTAGGATCTGGCAGCTGCTCATCTCTGCAGCTGGTGCACAGTCCCACAGTGACACTGGAACAGCGCAGCCAAAGCTCCCCACTGCCAACTGCTGCCAAAGCCCTATATTTATAGGGAGGATCCTGGATCTGGCCTATGGGCCAATCCCTACCCTACAGTATTAGAAAATGGAAGCATAATTTCCTTCACATACTAAATGTTGTTTTTTCTTTTCTTTTTTTTAATTAGTAGCTAAACCATTTTGTGATGGTTTAATTTAGAATTTGATCCTAAATTGAAATGTCTTCTTTCCCAAAGGGAAACCAACAAGTTTTTAAAATGTAGTCAAGTCAAAAAAAGGAATAAGATTTTTTATTATTAAAGTATTACACTATATAGAATTTTTTTTGGGTGGGTGTGGGGGGGTTGCTTTGCTTTGCTTATCTCATTGCATTTTTAGTGTACTTTGCTGTAATTTCTAGGTCAATCAATAATTCACAGAACTCCCTGATTGGGTACATTAAGATTTTTCACCAGTAGACTTTCCCTAAGTGAACTACCATTGGTGTTGAACTGCAGCTGTGAAATTTGCTAGTCTCTATACCTCCTGCTTTTCACCCCAGGTTTAGAATAACCATATTTTCCTAGTTTCACAATGGTGCCCACCATCTGGCATGCTCAATAATCTCTGGGACATACGGGGTGTATCCAGATGAGCCTGCAGGTGCGTCTCAAACCCCTTTAAGATGCTACAGGAGGCATGTGCGGGAACAAGAAACCATTCCCTAGCTGCAAATTAGCAGCACAGGGGCAAGATTAGACCCCTGAATATCCAGAGATAAAAAAAACCACAGCAGAAAAAAGTGGGGCCATGCCCTGAGGCAACCGGAGGCTGGGTCCTCCACAGAGATGCTCTGGTAGCAGTCAAAGTGTCTCTGTGGCTGGCCCTCACCCTGGTGCTGAAGCACACTGCCTGCCCATGCAGAGCAGCCAGCGTGCCAGCTGCAGATAGCTGGACCCAGGATCTAGTGCTGGTAAGTAGAGGGTGAGGGGGGCTGGAGAAGGAGAAGGGGACCATGGGGGGACACCTGCCTGCCCCACCCAGCCCGAGCCCCTGCCTCCCCCCCGTGCCCC